CTACAAAGTGATTCACTTTCTGTATAGGAGTCTACAAAGTAACAGAACATCAGCATTTACATACTGGCTGTAATCCAGTCCATTTCCCAGCAAACCCATTCTATCAAACCAACACCTAAGCCAAGCATCTATAATTATTTGTGGCAGAGAATGGAAAACCTAGGCCAACAGTACATTCAACAATTAAATCAATTTTTAAATACATGCTGTAAACCATGTTTTTGCAGGCATTTTTAGCCCTGCGGTAAGGATGTTTCAGCCACTGGTTTATGAAGTTTAATGGACAGTATTTGTTCAACTCCAAATTATAAATTTAAATAAGGTCCGCCATAAGTAATTTGTCATTTTAAACTTAAGCATTTAAATTGATGTTTGATAAATCTGCAATTCTAAACTATTTCTAACAGTTCCTTGTTATGTCTGTTTACAAGTAACCAAGGGCTCCAACACCAGACAGTGTACATTTGTTTTTAACTGAATAACTCTTAATTTTAGTTTCTTTGCCATATTTATAAATTAGCCCAATAACCAAAGAATTCTGGACAATGTACTGTTAAAAAAAGAAAAGAAAAAAGAACCATAAAATACTCTGCTTCAGAATGTAATTGGAAAAGCCTTCAATTTGACAAAACAAAATTGTCAGCGAGGTATCTAGAAATCCTTTTGGGGAGGGCATTTCAAATCTGGGTGCCATCACTGAAAAGCTGCTATCCAAACACTACAAAATTTTTTTAGACAGAAGCATCCAGAAGACCACAAAAGATGGTCTCAAAGTCCAATGAGGTGTACAGAAGCCAGACAGGCCGCCATCCCAGGAGCACCCGCATTTTAAAATCACAGATATTCCTGGGGGCTCATGTACACACACCCCAGAAAGTATGCGCTTTCTGGTGTGGGTGTCCAGATGTTCTTCCGGGACTGCCCAGGAGAATACCAGGACACTGTAACCCCCTCCCCAGAAGCCCCCCCCCCCGCAAAAGAGTTTAAAAACAAAAGAACTCACCCAGCCCCCATGAGACAGCTGCTGGAGTTCTCCTGGTGCATACAAATGACACACCAGGAGAAAGTGGGGAGCGATTTTCCTCCTGCCCCCCTTTCTCCTGACGCATCATTTGTACACACCAGGAGAACTCCGGCAGCCATCTCATGGAGGCTGAGTGAGTTCTTTTTTTTTTTACTCTGTTTTGAGAGCTTTTGGGGAGAGGGTTGGTATTTTCACAGTTTGCGGGCTAATTTAGCCCAGAAAACTATGGGAATACTGTCTGAATTGCAGTCCAGATACCAGAAGTAGTGGGTTTATCCCACGCCTTCCAAGAAGGTGAGGAATAAGCCCACTATCAAATTAATTCCCCACAAACTAGGGTATTCCTGGTTTGTGGTGGATCAATTTGGGTTGTCCAGGATGTTGTCTGGACAGCCCCCTTTTATTGCAGAAATTTCCGCAATAAAGTGGCTGTCTGGATGTGCCTTTAGGCCCCTTCTGACTACCATATAAAATCCAGATTATCTGCTTTGAACTGGATTATATGACAGTGTAGAAGGGTTTAAGTGTGCATAAGTACTGAAACCTATGAGAACAATCCTATTTCACTCAGCCAACATTAAGCCAACTGAAGTTGGGCTGATTAGGGGTGCTGGCAATGACTCAGGACTACCCTGACCTTAACATCAAAACATCTGGGAGTCCCCTGGGTAATGTTCTTGCAGACAGCCTATTCTCTCACACCATAAGTGACTTGCGGTTTCTCAAGTTGCTCCTGATACAAAAAAAATCAGTATTATTGTCAATATCATATTAAAATTGGTTCCAATGCATTTAAGGTTTAGGATTGAATCTCTGCTCAGCCATGGGAACCCAACGTGTGACTTCACAAACTTAGGAAAACCTTGTGACAGGTTCACCTCAGGTTGCCATAATTTAGAAAGAACCTGGAGGCGTTCAACAACAAATACATTGAATAATACTGAATTATTTATTATTAAGAAATTAAATTTACCAACTCAATATTAACAGATAAAATTGCCTCATTGATATTTCAGTATTGTTTCAACTAATTTTGAGTCTACTTTACCTATATTGGCTAATGTGTATATATTTTTGTCTTTTAAATTATAAAAATATAAAAAGCCCCAAAACTCTCACAAACTATGTGGCTTTGAAGCTCTTGCACAGTAGTTTATTTATTATTTTATTTATTTACTTTGCTTATATACCACAGTTCTCAGCCCAGGGGCGACTCACTGCGGTGTACAACACAGAAAAACAGGTGAAAATTACAAGACACAGTATAAAAATCCACAATTCATCATTATCAAAACATCCTCATCAAAAAACATCATCATTACTACAAAAGCCATTCCGTGTCGTCTCATCGTCAGAACCACAATCCAGAATCATTTTCCGTTGTTCATTCCTATGGTCAATTACCAATCATTGCACTTCTTGTTCAAACGCCTTCTTAAATAGCCAGGTCTTTAATCTCCTGCGGAATATCATCAGGGAGGGAGCTAGTCTGATGTCCGCGGGGAGGGTGTTCCACAGCCGAGGAGCCACCACCGAGAAGGCCCTATCTCTCGTCCCCGCCAGCCGTGCCTGTGAAGTTACCCATATCTACTCTAGTTACACATATAAATCAGAGATGAAGACACTCAACAACAATAGATTAGCAACGATCAACCAACTAATTAGGCCATGAAATGTTGGCATTTATCTCTTTTGAAGGAAACTAAATCTTGCTATATTCTTTTTCAAGGAAGTAGAGAAGGCGAAAAAGTGGCTCTTCAGATGTTATTGGACTACAGAATCAACAAGCCTTATCAGTTCTAGCCGAAATAATAAATATTAGGAATTGGACTCAAATTTCTGAAGGGCAAAAAACTGTAAACAGAGACTGAATGTTTGTCTGTCAAGGATGCTCAGCTGTGGAGTTCTGCATGGGCAGATTGTTAAACCAGAGGTCCCATTGGGTCCTTTCTGATTCTATGAATTGTTGAATGTTCACACTACAGAAAAACACCTGGCTCACCCATGCTTGTAAGGAGATGACCTGCCTCAAACTTTTCATGGTACCAATTTCAGCTAGGTGCTCCCATGACAGCGTGGTGATAGATGTAGTCCAAATTTTGAAATGAATGGTAAATAAGCTATCTGAGGAGCTGAACCATATCTTGACCAATGATCCAGTGCCTTCAACAGCTAAAATCCAGAGGAGACTCCCAGCCCTACCAACACTAGAGCAGATAGGTTCTGTGGTCTAATAACATCTGCAGGGCCAAATCTTCCACCTTCTTTACTAGCCACTGCATGGAACAATATAATGGACAAATCCCATGCCTGAAGGAGACCAAGGTCTACAAGTCTTTCATAAGTGTTGGCCAAGATTGGCCCTTGAGACATCTACTGAAGAGACCTCTTATTCCTCTCTCACCATCTTTTCCTGAGACAGATAATCACATACCATCACACAAAAAATGAGGAATTATAAAATGTTGCCTCTAGGATTATGGTCCCAACCTGTGGACCATGGACCACCAGTGGTCCACAAGAACTAAAATATGGTCCATGGCCTCAATGTTACTACACTGTTACAACTGGTCTCGCAAAAACCTCTTATACTACCGAGGCCAATTAAATACGTTTTTCTGTGGGTGAGCAGATGGCAACTACTGGATGCAGGCATGTAGCCGGGGGGGGGGGGCTTGAGGGGCTTCAGCCCCCCCCCCCCCCGAAATTCTCATGGTGGTTCGCGAAAAGGCCTTACTGGTGCATTATTTAAACTGTTATGTTTATTCATATCATGATCTGATCACCATACTCAATATATCCCATGTGCATGGGGGTATTGGGGTAATGATACAAAAGGTTTGCTAGGGTAGACCCTCTTTCACTCAGACTCAGCCCCCCCTGAAACTCAGCCCCCCCAAAACCCCCCCCCCCCCCCCGAAACGAAATCCTGGCTACGGGCCTGACTGGATGGTATATGCTCTGTATAAAAAACTAGAGATGATGTCGTCTATCCAATGCAATTTTCTAAATCAACACCCCAAATAACCAAATCAAATTTAAAGTTGACCAAAAATTGATTTGTAAACCTTTTGGTAATAATGTTGGAGAGTGGTCCCTGGTCAAAAAAAAGGTTGGGAACCACTGCTCTTGCTGGTAGTAGGCAAAGGTAAAGCTTTCCCCTTGACATTTAGTATAGTCGTATCCAACTCTGGGGGGTGGTGCTCATCTCCATTTCTAAACCGAAGAACCAGTGTTGTTTGTAGACACCTCCAAGGTCATGTGGCCAGCATGACTGCATGGAGCGCTGATACCTTCCCGCCGGAGCAGTTCCTATTGATCTACTCACATTTGCATGTTTTTGAACAGCTTGATTGGCAGAAGCTGGGGCTAACCCCACTCCCTAGATTCGAACCTGTAACCTTTCGGTAAGCAAATTCAGCAGCTTTGTGGTTTAACCCACTGTGCCAGCGGGGAGCCAAGGAGGTAGTAGTCTCTTCAAGTTGTGAGTGGAAGTGGAGGAGAATCTCTACCTTCTTGTTTTCCAGGCAAGGGCTTGAGAGAGTTCTTTCTTGGGCCAAAACCTCCCATAATTTCTCATAATGTCCATGGTGGCTGAGCAGTTCCAGAAGTTGTGGTCTACAGAGTACCATTTCCAAGCTCTGGTTTTGTTGGCTACTTGGGGTGTGCATTTCTGCAAGTGTGTGTGTGTGTGTGTGTTTAAAAAGCAATCCGAACAAGCAGCCTTAAGGCTTTCAAATGATCTTTCCCCCGTTCCATTATCCAGTGGTAGTCATAGTCAATCATTGCTCACCAAAGAGCAAAGGGAAGGGGGGGGGGGTCTGGTGGCTGAAAGGGCGACACACACAGCAAAGGGCCCGGCATGCTTTTTTCCCCCGAGGAAAAGGAAAGGCCCAGCCGCAGGAGGATTTCCTGAAACAGAACGCTCCGATCCACAGCTAATTATTATTTGGGTTGGAAAGCAAAAGCCACTTACTTGCCCAAGAGTGAAATATGACCTTAGCTAGCAAAGAGACAAGCAGCAGCAGGAGCTAAGCGCGCACACTTTGCAGCAACCACCGCTCTCCTGACAAGGCCATTTCCGGGAGCGGAGCCTTTGCCGGAAAAAAAAAAGGAGGAGGAGGAGGAGAAGCAGAAAGGGGGAGGGAAGGAGAGAGAGAGAGAGAGAGATGGAGAGCAAGCCTCGCTCCTTTTCTTTCCTTGGCAGGAGCACGATGGTCATGCCTTTCCGCATTGGTCAGTGCAGCCCTGGCTGGCTGCGTCTGGCATCCTAGCCTCTTGCCTCGCTTTCAAACGCCTGGGACGGGAAATGGCACAGAGTCGGGAAGCAGCGCCCCACAATTTCCAAAACACGCACACACCACTAGAGTTTTTTGTTTTGCCCACAAGCCAAACTGATGGTGATTATGGCTGCATCCATACTGAAGAATGAATACACACTTGACTCCATGCAAACTGCCATGGCTCAATGTAATAGAATCCTTGGGGAGTAGATTTGCAAGATCTTCAGCCTCCTCTACTCCAATGCCGGTGCCTCACCAACCCACAACTCTCAAATGCCAAACTGCCTCCAAAAATTGTGGCAAATAACACAAAATTCTGAGAGTGCCTTGGACCGCCAGAAGATCCAACTAGTCCATACTTCAGGAAATAAAGCCCAACTGCTCACTGGACAGAAGGATAGTAGAGGCAAAGATGAAGTACTTTGGCCACATTATGAGAAGACAGGAAAGCTTAGAGAAGACAATGATGCTGGGGAAAATGGAAGAGAAAAGGAAGAGGGGCAGACCAAGGGGCAAGATGGATGGATGGTATCCTTGAAGTGACTGGCTTGACCTTGAAGGAGCTAGAGGTGGTGACGGCCAATAGGGATCTCTGGCGTGGGCCGGTCCATGAAGTCATGAAGAGTCGAAAGCAACTGAATGAATAAACAACAACAAACACAATAAATGTATTGTCAAAGGCTTTCATGGTCAGAATCACTGGGTTGTTGTAGGTTTTTCAGGCTGTATGGACATGTTCTAGAACAGTGATTCTCAACCTGTGGGACCCCAGATGTTTTGGCCTTCAACTCCCAAAAATCCTAACAGCTAGTAAACTGGCTGGGATTTCTGAGAGTTGTAGGCCAAAACACCTGGGGACCCACGGGTTGAGAACTGTTCTAGAAGCATTTTCTCCTGATGTTTCACCTGCATCTATGGCAGGCACCCTCAGAGTTTTTTAGGTCTGTTAGAAACTAGGAAAATGGGGTTTATATATCTGTGGAATGTCCACAGATATTTTATGGGAGAGTAGATGTTTTTGGGCAACTGAAATAACACTTCTGAAGATCTGCTATGTATTTTGTGCATTGGCATAATCTTTGTTCCTAAGAGTTCCGAGAGATAACCAGGTATATCAGTGTAACAACTGAGCAAACTAAACTATATTATTTTCCTTCTGCTTCAAGTAGCAAAGCTCCCAGTGGACTCACTGTATCTTTACAATAGCTCTGTGTATTGGTTCTGGGAGCAGGGAATCTCAGATTCAATTATGAATTCCTTGCTTGACACAGCCCATGAGTTTGTGGTGATGTGGAACACACACAGCTGCTGTACATGAAATCTAGTGTTCTTTCAAGTCCTTTCCAAGGCTTTCTTGGGAACAGCTAGTTGGTTACCAGGAGAAATACTAGGGCTCCACCACATCCCACTTCCCTTCCTCAGTTCAATTTTGCTTAATGAATGAAAGTTCTTTGTTTTCTACTTTGTAAGTGAAAAGAAAGCCAGCAGCAGCAGTATAAATCAATGCTGCTCTAATTTGGCCTGCTGCCTGTTTGACCACTAATGTCAGATAATTTAGTGGTTCCAAATAAGAGGTGGCATCTTTGAAATATTCTCCCTTACAGAGTTAGACCCAATGTGACACTTGCTAGAGGAGAAACTCTTTGCATAAATCTGTCTTAAAAGGCTCACTTAATCATATTACTTCACTTGCAGCAGTAGCCTTTGAAGGCCAAAGTCCTGGCATGTTGAGGAATGGAGGAAGAGGCTGTAAAGGTATTAACCACTGCAGTGCTATGGCCCAGCCACAGCAGAGGCTCTGCAGTGGGGTAAACAATGACCTTTTCCCCTATTGTAAAAATCTATGTGCCTCAGTATCTGCATTGTTCTTCTTAGGAGCTTTCCACACAGCCATATAACCCAGAATATCAAGGAAGAAAATCCCACAATATCTGCTTTCAACTGAGTTACCAGAGTCCACACTGCCATATATCCCAGTTGAAAGCCTCAAGTCACCTGCGGACTGAGAGGGGCGGTATAAAAATGTAACAAATAAAGCAGAAAATGTGGGATTTTATTCAGCTGTGTGGAAGGGGCCTCAGAGATGTAGTGGAAAATAATAATAATAATAATAATAACAACAACAGCAACAACAGATATTTGCTATCAGAATAGGGTGTCGCTAAAATATGTGCTCTGTTTTTGTGTATGAATTAACAAGTGAACATTTCAAGTTGTCCTTAGAATACAGGTATTCAGATCTCTGGAGGCCCGTCCACACAGCCCTATATCCCAGAATATCAAGGCAGAAAATCACACATTATTTGAGTGTGGACTCAGACAAACTAGTTCAAAGCAGATATTGTGGGATGTTCTGCCTTCGTATTCTGGGATATAGGGTTGCGTGGAAGGGCCATTGTTGTGTTATCTACACAAGTGGTTCTCAAATACTGGTCCTCCAAAATTTTGGTGTATCAACTCTCAGAATTCTTGAATATTTGTAATGCTGTGTTTTTGTGTGACTTTAAGTCCTTTCTAACATGGTGTTCGCAAGGTGACCCTCAGGGAAAAATATTATTTTAAAAGCTAGGGTTCTCCAGCATTTCCATCTGGCACTAGGGCTCCAATTTGAATATATTTACATGTGTTTTGGACTTGGTCAAAAATGGTATACTGAAACCCCAAAAGGATGGAAGGAACTGGGAAGACAGCCAACTGGTGCCACATGCAGCAAGGGAGAAAGTGGAGTACACACATCACAAATCACGGACCTTTTTGATTCTGAAGGCTGGGGCAGGGTAGAGGAACGTGAAGAATGGCTGTGACCTTTTGACAAGCCTTAGCAGTAGCGTAGGACCTAAGAAAATACCCAACACAAGAGAAGTATGTGATGGCACACCTGAGCCTTTGGGAAAAACTCTAATGTCTGACTTTATTCGGGGGCTATCAGTATACCTTCTGTTAAGATTAAGACCCTTAACAGACAAAGGCACGTTAGGCAAGGTAAAAAGATAACCAAAATTAGTTTACTGTAGTTAACTCTACCCAGGACTATCATAAGGTAACAATACATTACAAAAGGAACCTTTGCTGGCTGCAGTCATCTCTTCTGCCTCTGGTGCAAAAGAGATGGTTATAAACCGTCTTAATCTTTCTTGTGAAGCATAAGCTGGTAATAAGCTTCTGTTGTCCTTTGGACTGCTGGTATAAAAATATTGCTGAATGTAGGTGCTAAGGATGCCTGTTCGAATTGCTTGTGCCTAGGATTACCAGATAATCCCAAGCCTAAATCACAATATGTCTGCTGTAGAAAAGAGGGAGGAGTCCAGCAAAAAGCTCTATACAGGGAAATGGAATAGACCAACTAAGGCTGGCCTCTGGGGGGTGTTATGCTCCACCCAAAATCTAATACAATTGGGAAAATCTATGAACAGGGGGAACTAAAGCAGAGGAGAGGAAAAAGCAAAGCCAAAACTTCACAAAGCAAGGAGAAGGAATTCATACAAAAGCTATTGCAGTTGAACCTATGTTACCACCTGCATAGCTACTGAAATAGATGTGGATGTTTCTCAATGGATTTGTGTTGCCATATTACCTAGTTTTGACTTTATTTTCATAGTTAACTGTCCTGTCATTTTTCAGAATCCCAAAGGTTTGTTCCTGGTGTGCCAGCTCCAATGGATCCCAATGAAGAGACACAGAAATGAGGGCAGACTCAGAGACCAATTCTTTCTCCCACTCTGGACATTCCACAGATATATATACCTCACTTGCCTACTTTCCAACAGATCTCATAACCTCTGAGGATCCCTTCATAGATGTGGGCAACATGTCAGGAGAGAATGCTTCTGGAACATGGCCATACCGCCTGGAAAACTCACAGCAACCCAGAGACCACTGTATTGCTTAACTGGTCAAAGAAGGATGCCAGGAGGGAATACCAGATCTAATATGCTCTTTGTTTACAGACATCAGTATTTTATAGACATTTGAAAATAATAGACATTGCTTTGATTGGTACAAATTATTGTCCGCTGTCTTCCTGGTTTGAAATACATTGATTGTCATGCTTGTGATTGGTGGAGTGTGTATGGCAGGAACTTTAATAAAGCTTTCATTGGAGAGAAAACTGAGTCTGTCTACTATGTTTGAGTCTTCTCCTTTTAGCCTGGAAGAGGCTTCCTGAGTGGTGAAGTGTGTGCTAATTGGGGACCTTGGTGACAAGGATTGCAGTTGGAAAGGAATGACCCTTAGGTGATGAGAGCTTCTAGTCCCACTGCTAAAACAGGGGAAGCAAGGCTGCAATGATAGGCCTTTGGATTGCTCTGGATAAAATCTCTCATGGCCTGGTATGATCACTTTGCTGGCTGATACTCCACCTACATTCTGATGTTATTGAACCTGCTGGCTTGGCTGATAGAGAACTTCTTGTGTCCTTTGAATACTTGTACCTATTCTGCTTTGGTGGGAAGAAGGAGAGTCAGGCAGGGGTTCGCAGTGGGGGGGGGGGTGTCCATGTTTCTGAACCCAAGTGAGGTATTGAGAGGTCATCCATTTGAGCCCTGATCTCAGGGGCTCCAATCCTTCAGGGTCTGGGTTTAGGATAACACTACAAGCAGTTCTATCTTTTTTCAGGATTTTCCTAACTCAGTCCTGTGACAACACAAGGACCTGATCATATCTTTGATTCTTCACATTCCACTAAATACATCTGCAAGAGAGATGGAAGACATCCTCTTTCCAACATTATCTAATCTAAGAGAAAATAAGGATCTATCTCTGGCTGATTTCCACTGGTGGTCAATGGTTTCTAGAATCTTTGTGTTAGCCAATCCTGAGGATGGACTATATCTACAGTAGTTAAGTCCTCCAGATATAGAAAAGGGGAGAAGAAACCAGAAAGCCTGTCTTCTTTGAACCATCTGCTCTAACAAGGCCTGGTTTGTGTTCCTTACAATCAGTCACTTGCTTCTTTTTCTGATACATGAGTTACCACGAAGTGCTTGATGA